AAATACTTTGCTTAATCGAGGTGGTCGACTCATCCAGATCGTCGTGTGGGTGGCTCGGAGCCCATGTATTTCGCCGCCTAGATGCTATCGGTTCAGCAAGGTCCCAATAGTGCGAAAATGRGATGCAGAATCCGAGTAAGATGTAGGAGGATGAAGGTGAAGAAGAGGAAATATTAAGGTTAATTATGCAAAGTTCAAATAGCAGGATTAAAGGCAAAGGGAACTAGCCCAGTGTCCAATACTGTTTCGTAAAATGCCCCAAACAGGAGGGCGAATAATCGMAGGTRTTTRAATATAAGGTGAGAGAGGGGGTTGAGCAAAGGTGTTTTCAATCATTCATTGTCCAATCTTTCAGTTTAGTCAAGCAAGGKYYTATATATCGAAAAACAAASGTAGCGTACAAGGCCAAGCTAAGATCGTCGAAAGCAAGATCCGTCATCATTGTATTCGTCCAATTTCCAACGATAATTCGGAGATATGATGCAATCAGCAAAAAATTTCCAATGAAAGCTGGTAGGTCCGACAAAAAATATATATATATATACACCGTGTTTCACTTGGCCAAAGATAGTCACTGACGTAAAAACCATCACTGCCATCCCTGCCTAACGCTTGACGAAAGAAGACAAGGAACAAAAAGAAAAGAAAAGAAAAGAAAAGAAAAAAAAAGGAAAACAAGGACAAAGGCTCCCTCTCTGCCTTTCTTACTCTCCCTCTCCCCCACTCTCTCTCCCTCCCTCCCCCTTTTTCCCCCTCCCTCTCTTTTTCCCTCTGAGTTTTTCTCTCTCTCACTCCCGCTCTCCCTCTTTTTCCCTCTCTCTCTCTCTCTCTCTCTCTCTCTCTCTCTCTCTCTCTCTCTCTCTCTCTCTTTCTCTCCCTAACTCTCTCTCTCTCTCTCCCTCCGTCTCTCTCCCTCTCTCTTTCCCTCCGCCTTTCCCCCTTTTTCTCTTTCTCTTACCCTCTCTCTCATATAAGATTAAAAATAAAAGTAAAAATAAAAATAAAAATAAAAATAAAAATAGAAATAAGAATAAAAATAATAATACAAAATAAAAGATAAAATAAAAAATCTGGTGACGTCAACCTCCACCGAGATCCGTTAAAATCGAGCGTGGCGCCAATGCAATCGAAAAAAGTTCCATGCATGTCCAGTCTCTCAGCTAGGATTAGACAAGGAACCCTGTTGTGTCGGTTTCTCATGAGGGGTAGATGTGACTATAGTGCTCAAAAGAGGGTTAAGGAAGGGTGTTTCCAATCATTCACTGTTTGATCTTTCCGCTTAATCAAGCAAGGTCCAATGTATCGAAAACCAAAGGTAGCATACTAGGCCAAGTTGAGATCGCCGAAAGCAAGATCCGCCATCATTGTATCCGTCCAGCTTTCCACGATTATCGGGAGATTTGATGCAATCAGCAGAAAATTTCCAATGAAAGTCAGTAGATCCGACGCCCCTCAGGGGAGAATTTCTGACCGCGTCGTTTCGCCTTACGTAGAGTAGCACCATCCCCCCTCTCTCTTCTCTTTCTTCCTCCCCCTCTATCTCTTTCTCTCCCTCTCCTGCACACGCCTTCCAGGCTCTAACTACCGAATGAAAACCCAACCAGGGGCAAACCCCTCTCCTTTAATGAGCGTGGGGTCGATGTAATCGAGACAAGTTTTATTGTCCAATCCTCCAGCKAGATCAATCAAGGTTCTATGCAACAAACAACTCAAATGTAGCACACCAGGCTTGGCCAAGGATGGTTGCTAGTGCTCCCATAGAAAAGATTCAGTACTATTCCGTTCGTCCGTTACCCGATGAAGAAAAACCAAGGTTCGGCAAAAAAAATATATACCGTATTTTACTTGGCGAGAGATAATTGCTGACGTAAAAACCATCACTGTCGTCCCTGCCTAATCCTTGATGAAAAAAGACAAAGAACAAAAAGGAAAACAAAGACAAAGACAAAACGTCCCTCCCTCTCTCTCTCTCTCTCCCTCTCTCCCCTCTTTCTCTTTATCTCTCTCACTCCCTCTCCCCCTCCTCTTTCTCACTCCTACTCTCCCTCTTTTACTCTCTCTCCCTCTCTTTCTCCCTCTCTTTCTCTTTCTCTCTCTCTCCCTCTTTTTCTCTCTCTCTTTCTTTCCCTCCTTCCTCCTCACTCCTTCCTCTCCCTTCCTCCCTCTCTATCTCCCTTTCTCTCTTTCTCTTACCTTCCCTCTCATTCTCCCCAAGGAGTAAAAAGACACAAACAAAAATCTGGTGACGTCATCCTCCGCCGAAATCTGTTAAGACCGAGCGTGGCACCAATGCAGTCGAAACAAGTTTCATGCATGTCCAATCTCTCAGCTAGGATTAGACAAGGCTACTTGCAATAGGAAACCTTAAGGCTAACGTATCAAACCTATTGTGTTCATTCTTCATGAGAGGTTGAAGCGACTATCATGCTCAGACAACATAAAAATTCAGTAAATGCCGGTAAAACCATGATCCCACAGTCGAGAACTTCGGGTCGCGATATCCTGTGTTTATAGAGTAGGACTATCTTCTCTTCTATCAGATTCTAGATAACGATGTATACAAGGGACGGTGATGTCATACTCATCTAGAGGCAATCCTAAATCGAGGGCCGATGTGACTATCATATCCTGACAGCAGAAAACCGAAGAATTGTTCCCTCCTCAGTAGTCAACAAAATCATCACCCCTGAGCCAAAACCCTGATTACTAATGTAGAGTAGCATCTGTTTTCCATAGTTCGACGTACTTCAAGAATGACGCAGCCTGGTGGTGTCAAGACCTACCTAGAGAAGATCCCCTAATGCTGAACATGGAGGCAAGGGTGAGGAGAGGTAGGACAATGCTTCCTTAAAAAAAAATATGTCGAGTGGATCCTAATGATTTAATCCGTCGAAGGTGATTAAGGAGGGTGAGGATGGAGTTAACACGGGACCTTCCGTACCAATATAGCTCGTCTGTCAGCTAATTATCGGAGCTAAACTACGAACTTCAAGTACAAGTAGTACCCAATCACTCAGTTAGCAGGGGAGAGCTAGATCATGAGCATTCATGCACGCTAGGTGAAAGTGACCCATCGAACTTGGAGATCAGAGGTCCGCCAGGAAGTTCATAGCCAAAGCATTCTGCAATTGAAGTGATGATGCACAGTCATCGATGAATGACACATAAACAACCGAAGAGGCTGGCGAGAGAACTCCCAATCGGGGAGGCTACAGAACAGCCGGGAACAGGTCGCAGAGGTCGATGCAGGAAGGGCGTGGCCAACCCCTAAACGTTTTTCGCCGAACGCCACTAATTCATCTCATCAGAGGGAATCCAAGGCCTGCATTTCACAACACAGCAAACGCGACACAACCATTCCAATCTGCCAATCTTCCATTCATGCAGCGGGTAAGTAATAGGTAATGGATTATAGCGGTTCCTCGCCGCTCTGGGATTCCACGAGGGCGCTGTACATTAACCCTTCCAAGTCAAGAGCCGCCATAGCTAAGTAAGCAGGAGTTCACGCACACCTCAACAATTGCACAGAACAGATGAATACAAAACAGATGCATTCACGATAGCTGGTGGGAAAATGAAGGATATGCCACTCAAGATATAGGAGGACCGATGGGGAGTCTCATGCGTACGAGGGCGAGGAGTCACGGCTGTTGTGTGAACAGTCGTTTATGGAGGGCCGTTGGTGGGCGCCCCCTAGTGCAGATGCTGGGCTAGATGCAGCTTAGCTTCGGCAAAATCCCTACGTTTGCAGCGTGAGTGGGTGCCTGAATAGTCCGCCCGTCGGCCGTAGTCAGGTCGCTAGTGGAAATGTCATACTCAGGCCCAGTGGTTACTCGAATATCAGTTTACGGGGGCACTAAGATATCGGTGTTCGCGATGTACTCGGAAATCCTCTGGCCTGTATGGGTGGCCACGTGCAGACCACGTATAGAGAGGTGAATATGCCAATGGTTTAGTCCCATTATGGCCGAGGTAGTTCTGCCACTGGGGAGGGCAGCTGATCGACACGTTATGGCTTGTGCCGGTATTGTCATTTTACCTTAGCTATCGGCCTAAGGACCCCATTAATGACAACGAAAATTGCACTCAGCGTGGGTACCCGATATAGGGGCAAAAAAAATGATTCGTGCTGGGTCACGGTTCCCAACTTCCGAGCCAAGGTCGTCTATTACTCGAAGGGGTGATGGGGGTGGGTTTGGGGACCAGTTTGCCGCATCAACTGTCAACTCACTGATCGAATCCGTGGGTTGTGGTAAGCCGCCCCTGGAGGTGTTGTAAGTTCTTCTACGTCTATTCATATATATATATATATATGTTTGTCCGAGTGTGTGTGTTCATGAGTTCTCATATATGTGTGTTCATATATATGCATGTGTGTATATATATATATATGTATATATGCATGTGTGTGTGTGTGTGTGTGTGTGTGTGTTCTCATATATATGTGTGTATATATATGTATATGTGTGTGTGTGTGTGTGTGTGTGTGTGTGTGTGACACTCCCGCTGTCCCTCTGTGATGATGAGTCCTGTCAGGGAAGGCATCTGTATGATGCCTGTCCATGACAGGTCATCATACAGACACCCCCCCGGGGTGCATAGGTCGTCATCCGGGGGCACACACTACATATCTCTTTCAGTATTCTCAGATTCTCCGAAGGATTGGCTCTGAAGGGTTGGAACCGGGAATGGTTGCGGAGTGTTTTCTTGGCCAACCTCAAGCAGGGTCTTTTTGGGAAACCATTGGAGACCATTCTGATGATAACCTTACTGATTTCACTGGCTGCATCCCCGGGGTCCGAGCATATAATCATGACGACCAGGACCTGCCCAGTGATTATGGCAAGGGATTGCTTGATCGGTCGATTAGAATGATATCTAATGTACCTGCATGGGTTGATATTCATATGTTCCAGTTTATCATACTTAATAGTGCTGTATGCGCCGATAATCTCAGAGGCTACCGTGATCTGAGAATTGAGGAATTTGGCGGTGAGAAAACCTTCGTCAATCCCTCTGTTGGGTTTGATCTCGATGATGTGCTCAGGGATCCAGGTCTGGTACTCCAGGAGGTCATTCTTGGAGCAACCGAGGAATACAGGCATGAGCAGGTTGTTGAGGGAATGGAGGTCATTAACATACCTTAAGGTGTGGTAGAACTTAGCAGTTGTGTCATATAGACCTCGATCAATTAGTCAGATCATAGCCTGGTACTCATATTTGAAAAGGTACAGATCACACCATATAGGAGAGCATGGAAGACCCATGGGTATGCCGGTTTTCTGTCTCCAAACGGCATTCCCCAGTTGTATGTAATTGCTGGAGGCTAGCCATTGGTTCGGATGGAGTAAGGCACCATGTTAAGTGAGTTCGCTACCTTCCTGTCTGTCCATTCACATTCATACATTCTATTGTTCTTTTGATAGTATTCTCCAATTTCCACCATTTCGATTCCTAAAGGCGAACCCCTTCTTGATAGCAAACAGTAGGGCCGAGATCAGGCCGTCATTAGGTTCTAAGATAGGGATCGTTTCAAAACACCTGGTGATGTCTGCTGTAAAAGCAGAGAAGACCTGAGGGGAGAGATTAAGAGAATACTCGTTGATAGATTGGATTGCCCACCAAAGGTTTATTCTCACAGAGTGTTCCTTTTCTACTTTATCCGCTTTGTTTTTGCAGAACATCTGAACCTCCTCAGCCGGCATCCTTAGTGCTTTCGCGCAGATGCTGGCCATAGGGGAGAAAATGCAGTCTGAAGTATTAGTGATCCAACGGAACGTCTTCTTGTGGCTTTTGTAATTCGTCAAAAGGTAAGGCAGTTTATCGGAGCCCATTGGTATCCCTAGAACATTGTGAGCTTTAATGGAAGCAATGATATCCCCCACTGTTCTATCGTCTCTCTCGAAATCGGGGCCTGTGATTCTGCTGTAAGCAAGTTCCCGCATCAGATGTTTGCATATGAGTACAGGTGTGTTGGTAGTCTTATCCATTGGTGCTATGAAGAAGTGACGGGTAAGAAACCCGATTTCATGCTCAATGTGTCGTTCATTCATGCTCACATTCGTACTCGCAGAGTGCCTTCTAATATACCTTCTCAGCAACTGACTAGTCCTATGCAAAACCGTATGGGTCATCCTATCCCTCAGCGAGGGTATCAGAGCCGCAATCTCAGGGACAATTCTAACTGTTTCATGCCATGCTAATCCTATCTCCTGCAGAGCAGAGGGGAAATCAAAATCACTCGGAGGGATGTGGTTAAGACCACAGCTTAACAACTGCTTAATAGTGTCATGCATAGTGATCGAATAGTCACTTGTAACCACATCTCTCCTCACTGCAAGACTGCTGGCTGCTTCCTCAAGTAATCCCTCAGTAGCAGGCTCAATGTATGCCCTGAATCTTTCCGATGTAAAGATGCATACCTGGGGAGATCCCTGCCAAGCCTCGATGTCGAAGAATTTGAAGGTGTCTGCCAGTCTGTAAAGTAGTCGCGAGAGGGGGTCATCGTACTTCCATCCAAATACTACCCCATCAAGCCAGTCTCCTGCTGCTGCCCCCACGACCGAGATCAGAGTCGACATGAATAGTTGCCTGATGCAGACGGCTTCCAGAATCCTGCTTGTATAATGCACATGGATATACCGTTTGCCAGGCATCTCGGTAGAATCCTTTCTCCACTATCTTCTCCCCGATGGGCCAAGCACCACCCCTCCCAGTGGTAGTGACTCATGGTCAGGTGGAACCTGAGGGCACGAGGAAAGCACATTGCCAGACAGGGTTCTATATGTATATCCCCAATAGGGTCAAGAAATCATAATTAGGGAGAGTATTATATCAGTTCTCAAATCGTTATTATGAAAAGTGCCTACTGATCCACAAGTTTTTATTGTTGCGGTCAATCATAAGGGTTCCTGATGAGTTAGGCGGCTATCCTTGGTAAGAGCCGGTCCCTAGCTCCATTATTCATCAGCCATCACCATCGCAGTAATGTCCCCAACATAGTCCCTATTGGTCCCAAAAACTGGAGGGAATCGGAACCAGCATGTCACCAACGATGTGTTACCAAGCTGTATTCCCCTGGCAACGTCGACGGTCATATCCACCATCAGGTCAATGATGGTGTCCAGCCTCTCATCCTCCCACCCACCTGACAAAAACGAATCCTCCCCCCTAAGCCATGCCTCACACCGRATGCTGTTTCCTGTTAACCCCGCACACACCGAGAGTTCACCCAGGTGGATATCATTGACCAGGATGTCCAGTTGTGAGCTGGAGATCCTGATGATATCGGGGCCATGGCTGGCAATCATGTCGAGTAGCAGGGGGATGAGGGAGGGGGTGGTGTGAATCGGATCGTATTGGGTGGCCCATGGCGGCTTATTCAGTAGTCGGATCTCCATCCCGACAGGCGTCGTCCTTGGTCTGAATAGAGACCTCCTGTGAGCCACTGTAACGATGGAGAAAAGGTGCCATTGATCGCAGCCCCAACCCGTCAAGGGGTTCCCAAAATTTCCAAACCTGTGAAACCAATCACTGAAAGCACAAAGCGAAAAAATTGAAAGAAAAAATAGTAATAACTAAAAAAAATCAGTACAAACAATCAATTACCAGCTACCGTGTCCACCATTGCGACATCATGAGGGTTGGTAGCTCCTGGATCCGTCTGTGGCCGCTGGTCGTTCTGTTGCGAGGTGGCGCCGCAGCTAGCAAAGGACGATGCTATGTCATTGGTCCTTGCCTTTGCTGCAAAGTAGCTGGTCTTCTTAAGTGGGAAGAAAGCTTCAGAGAGGATTCTCTGTGTAGGTGACATCTCAACCGCTGCTTTCTGCCGTTTATTGGGAGTCCTTCTCCTCTTGCTGGGGACCTCGGGAGCCTGGGGTAAGTAGGTGGCTCGAGATGGGAGCAGAGCGCTGCCCATTTGAAGTGCAAAGGGTTTCTTTGCAAATGGCAACTTACCGAACACAGGCCCAGCAGTAACATTGGGGTCCTTTTCAACGGCCATCATGATGTCCCTCATTACTACAAAGGTGAGGCATAGTTTGATGAGGGGTTTCCATCTACCTCGGAAAAGGTGTAGGAGATACCCGATGCGCACTTTGTTGGAGCGTGCATCCGGCTGAACCATCTCCGGGTGCGTGAGAAGGAACCATATGGCATGGTCCACCCAAAGTGGTCCTACGTCACATGCCTTGTTGCTAGATTTCCCACCACCCTGTCCGTATCCACATCTGAGGTAAGGGCGGCCAGCGTTCCAGATCTTCCTCAGGATGCGGTGGTCACAGGTAATCTCAGAAGGGAGTGCCTTCAGGAATACGCTGGGTGTAGGGAGGGAACATCTGGTAGGGTCGAATTGGTTCATTGGTGGGAGCGGGGCGTCCTCATCATTAAAAGCCGATTTTCCCACTCCCTGGTGGTGGAGGATGCCACTAAATGCGTCTTCCCTGCATTCCTTGATTTCAAGATCGGAGAGATCGCCCAAGAACCTGTACCCAATGGGACTGATTGGTGCAAGGTGGTTAAACGAATCCAGCGCCCAGACCCGTGAGTCAGATGCCCTGGCCATCTGTTCAACCCAGTRGGGAGATGCAATTGGGATAAAATTCTTATCACTGCTCGTCCCTACAGAGGATCTCTTCCTTTTCTTCAAGGTCACTGGAGCATTGATGACCATCTCTAGTTCAAGCTTCTCCTCTTGGTCGTCAAATTTGTCTATGAGGCTAGCAGGGGGTGAGTCACTGGGAAGAGTCGGGAGAGAGGGTTCCTTCCAGATGTCCTTGAAGGTCGTCTGGATGTCATTAACCCTTACTGAGTACGTAGTGAGCTCCGTGTCAAGTGCTCTCTTTCTATTCCCTGCTTTGCCAACGTATGATCTAAGGACTGAGTCAAAATCCCCYCTCTTCTTGTCATAGGTCCAAATCAGGTCTGCCTATTCATTAAAAAAGAACGTCTCTGTGAGCAACGGTAGTTGTTTAGCTGAGTGTTTCTCCCGCAGGATCCGCATCATTCCTGCTGTTCGTGATATTGATGATGGACTGAGTTGGTTTTGATGCTGGCAGAAGCTCAGCTAAAAACGGGTTACGTCGAATTGTTTCTTCCCACCATCCCCCCGCATGAGAGTTCATTTCATCGTCAACAATATKTTAAGTGGTAGGGGTCAATACTGCAGTGATAACAAAATTAAGGGATTGAAAAAACGTGCCAAACAACAATCCGACCCAGTGGGGAAAAAAACAGAGAGACGCATGACCAMYAGAGTCTCGGTCAGCGAAAAAATCTCAATGAGCATCCGATTAAAGAGCAGGAACAATTGGAACAACTGATGCCTCCACCTTGATGACAGAAGTCAATTTTGCCTTGATGCATTTATTGCCCTCGTACCGCAGTAAGACTCAGTCGTAGTCTGGGGGCTCAACCCCGTGACGGTTTAACCCAGGGGCAGAGAACCTCTTTGTGTGTGTGTTACAATACGTTACCCAATGACAAGAAATGCCACGAACCCCACAGCAGGCTGCGGTACGACTGTTCCACTACTGGTTTATGGGCTGCACCCGGTCTTATACGTATATCCGATCAATGAGCATACTCATTCCTCATCCTGTTATTGATGCCAATGTTCCCCACCTTTCAAAGTACTCCATACATCATACATGCAAGGTTTTCAGCAGACACACTATTTGCTTTGTGTATGAATCCACCAGACCTCGTCTCCTTGCGTGATGATCATAGCGAGTGCAACATAGAAGGATAACAGGAGGAGGAGGGTGAGTGCGATCCTTATTAGTCGGGAGGTAGGGAGTGGTCTGTGTRTGTTATTGTGATATAATGTCTCCCTGAGTTTGTTGATTTCCAGGCTGAGGGCCATGTTTACCCTCAAAAGTTGTCCAATCTCCTCGTAAATTCTCTCCTTGGTTCGTAGTGCAATATCCTCGAAATCATTTAATAGGGAGCGGTGCTGAGTATAAATCTCCGAAAAAACCAATGCGGCCCTTGCCTGATCTCCGTATAGTCCTTAATCGAGGGGGGCATCATAGTGATAATCAGGGGACAAAGATGGGGGATC